CATTTGTAACAGTATATCGTTAAAGAAATACGGAACAGTATAATGTGTATCTTTAAAAATTGTTGTTCTAGAGGGATTAGCTGTTCTTGTTTTTTGTTTTGTTAATAATATAGATTTTGTTATATGAACTTATTCTGGGGAAAAAAGGGGCAGCTTTATAAGATTTTTTCTTCTCTCTGCTGATTTTGATATACGGGTGTGGTGTAGTGGTAGAGCAGCCGGCTTTGGGATCTGAAAGTTACAGGTTCAACTCCCTGCCATGCCCACATGCCGTGGTCTCCTTGAGCAAGACACCCAACCCACTGCTCCCCGGGCGCCTCACATGGCTGCCTGCTGCTTCACTTTGATGTGGATGGGTTAAATACAGAGCACAAATTTTGTCATTGTATGGGAACATACACTGATGACCAATATAAGCACCTTTACCTTTATATATATATTTTTTTTTTGTTATATTTTCTTCTTATTGTATATAAATTTATTGTTCTGTTTTAGTGAAATTAATAAAGGAATTGAATTCAATTGAATTGAAAATACACAACAAAGAAAAAAAACATGCAATCAAAATAAAATCAAATAAAATGAAAGGCAGCAGAAGAAGAATAAATCTTATAATATCTGCCCCTTTTTATCTCCTGAATATGTTCAAACAAAGTAAATTACAACAAAAAATCAAAACAACTGAAAACACACAAAAAACAACAAAAACAAAGACAAATTTAAAACACCAACTCAAACAACATTTTGCATGGATTCACTTATGCTTAAAAAAACTTAACAACATTACAAACTTTTTTTTTCCATTTTGGAGAAATCCCACTTCATATTAACCGAGTTTTCCATCCCCCAGTTGGAGATCTTCCACTCGGTGATGTACAGAAACTACCAGAGGAAGACTGACATGGACGAGCCCCCCAGTTTGGATTACGGCTCGGGCGCAGAAGATGAGAACGGGGTGGGAAAGAGCGAGAAGAGGCGGGCCAAAGACCCAGAGTACGCCATGCTGGAGGACAAATACTACCGATACGGCATCAAGCCCGAATGGATGATGATCCAGCGCATCATAAACCACAGGTACTAACTGCTGCACATCTGAGCACGTGTGAGACAGGTTTCTGTACCGGCCAGGCGCTCACCGTCCTGCACGTGTCTCTCTGCCAGCGTGGACAAGAAGGGACTGTACCACTACCTGGTCAAGTGGAAAGACCTGACCTACGACCAGTGTACCTGGGAGAGGGACAACATGGACATTCCCGACTTCGAGCTCCACAAAGCCAACTACTGGAGACACAGGTAGAACCGCAGGATCGGGTTTACAACTTCCCAGCTTTGGCATCGGATGACTTTTCTGTTCCGACAGGGATGCCATCCTGAAGGAGGACATGGACAAACCCAGGAAGATGATGAGTAAAGACGGCGAGGGAGAAGACGAGGAGTGTCCTGCTTCGCCGCTTACAGATGTAGGTGAACCGTGAGTTCGAATTTGTAGCTTCTGTCTGTCTGAGCTYATACTTCAGGGTTCCTGCAGATCCTTAAAAAGTCTTAAAGGCATTGAATTTATCAGTCCAAAAATAAGGTCTTAATTAGCCTTAAGAGTCTTAAATCAATCTTTCAGAGGTCTTAAATAATGTTGACACATTAGGATGATTGTAATTCCTGTCAAATATTAAAAGAACTGGTAACATTTATTTGTCTTTTTCAATAATTTATTGAATGCCCCTCACAGCTAGTTGTTTTGTATTAAAAYAAACATTTGGCTAAAATTGTCGCTAACTGTTTTTCTTTCCCCCTTTGTGTTTATTGTGATATTGGTCTTAAATTTAATCTCAAGTGGCATTAAAGAGGTCTTAAAAAGTCTTAAACTTAGCTTGCCTTAAACTATAGGAACCCTGTACTTGTAGCTTTTAATTGACTCTGTATTAAACATAAACAGGTCGAACTGCATTGAACTTGTCCACAAATCTGATCATAATTTTTGTTTACCGTATAGAAAACAAACAAGCTTTAAAAGATGTTATGTCAGAATTCTACGTACTTAAGGTTTTGTGTTTTTTGCTCCAGCCTACAATAAAATACGAGGAACAACCCGACTTTGTCACAGCGACTGGCGGCACGCTGCATCTGTACCAGCTGGAGGGCTTGAACTGGCTCCGGTTCTCCTGGGCTCAGGGCACTGACACCATCCTGGCAGACGAAATGGGCCTGGGCAAAACCATCCAGACCATCGTCTTCCTCTATTCCCTTTTTAAAGAGGTACGAGACTCATTCGTTCTCATTGAGGCTGCCGAGCAGCGCTGAGTCGTGAGACGTCGTCCGGCTGTGTTTTTTTCAGGGTCACACCAAGGGTCCGTTCCTGGTCAGCGCGCCCCTCTCCACCATCATAAACTGGGAGAGGGAGTTTGAGATGTGGGCGCCTGACTTCTACGTGGTGACGTACACGGGGGACAAAGACAGCCGAGCCATCATCCGAGAGAACGAGTTCACGTTCGATGACTCGGTCAAAACAGGAAAGAAGGCCTTCAAGCTGAGAGTGAGGAGGCAGCAAACCTTCACAATAATGAGAAAAACAGGTGTACAGCACCACCTCAGGCTTGCTGACTTGTTTGTCTTCCTGCAGCGAGAGGCTCCGATTAAATTCCACGTGCTGCTGACCTCCTACGAGTTGGTGACCATTGATCAAACGGCGCTCAAGTCCATTGACTGGGCCTGTTTGGTGGTGGACGAGGCTCACCGACTGAAGAACAATCAGTCAAAGGTACCATCACTAGTCTCTAGATATTTCTCAGAACTCTTCAGCAACCCTCCTTAAATCATGTTTGGTTGTTCATAAACCACCAGTTAAGAACCGTAGGAGGCACAGAGAACAACTTTGTCCCCTAAAATACGTTGTACGTTGCTCATTTTAAATGTTCAACCTGCCGGTCACACAGTCCTACCATCACTGCATAAAACACGTCAACTTTTTCAACCCTGTGACCACCGCCCTTGGTAGCTCAGAAGTGTAACCGTGGTGGGTTGACTTCAGTTTTCCTTGCTGTCTTGGTCTCTTTACATAATGAGATAGCAAGAAGCAGGCCCAGCTTGTTAGAGGTGTTTTGTTTCACAGGCTTCAGTCACTGTTTRTGCTCATGGGCTCCCTCTGATGGACAAACAGTGTAAATGAACCAAAATTACAAGCACATTTTCACATTTCTTTTACATTTCTTTTCATATTACTTTAGACACTATTGAGAAAACTACACATAATAAAGTACATCATTAATTATGATTTAAAGATGATTTTGTTTGCCCTTTATAATGATAAAATGAACTGGTTTAATAGGACATGTTTATATTTTTTTCTGATGTAGCACTACTTTTATGTCCTATGGAAAAAAAATCAGTTSTTATTAACCTCTAYATGTTTGGGCTTTGTGTTTCTTGCCTGTGTTTTTAGTTTTTCCGGCGTTTGAACGACTACAAGATCGACTACAAGCTGCTGCTGACAGGAACTCCTCTGCAGAACAACCTGGAGGAGCTCTTTCATTTGCTCAACTTTCTCACACCCAATCGTTTTAAGTATGACTTCTCCGCCCTGATGCAGTATTTTGATCCAAATGACTTTTTTTTTTTGAAAAATTCATTTTTAAATTCTTGCTCTCTCTCTTTGTGTGAAGTAACCTTGAGGGCTTCCTGGAAGAGTTTGCTGACATCTCCAAGGAGGACCAAATCAAGAAGCTCCACGACCTGCTGGGCCCTCACATGCTGCGGCGGCTCAAAGCAGACGTGTTTAAGAACATGCCCGCCAAGACCGAGCTGATTGTCCGCGTGGAGCTGAGCCCCATGCAGAAGTACGACACCGACAAATATAAATCGAGTTAAACCGATTGGCTAAACGTTCTCTAAGTAGACTTCTGTGTTTATTTGTAACCATCATTCAAGAGATTAAATCACTGCAGCCTGTTTTCTTGCTTTCCTTGTTTTGATTTTTATGTGTTTTTCTTTTAACAGGAAGTACTACAAGCTGATTCTGACCAAGAACTTCGAAGCTCTCAACTCAAAAGGTGGAGGAAACCAGGTCTCTCTGCTTAACATCATGATGGACCTGAAGAAGTGCTGCAACCACCCSTACCTCTTTCCTGTCGCCTCCATGGTGAGAACAGACCAACAGAAACAATGAAGCATTACAGCCGGAGGAGAATAGGTTGCATTTTACACAATGCTCATCAAAAAAAACTAAAGAAAAAGGTTGCACACTTTAGCTTTACCAAACATTAGGTCTAAATAACTTGTAATTGTGCACTGGGAGGTTTTTTGGCCAGGCAGTGTGTATTTACAGAGAAAGTTGTCATTTTATTTTACCTCAAAGAGAAATTTCACAACAGTCCTTATTGGTCCTACAGTGACACCATGTGGTCAGGTGAGGTAGTGCAAGCCTGATATTTATAAAGTGGATTATGTGACATATGGAGCTAAAATTAGGATGTTGAAATGACATAATTATGTTGGCACAAGCAAATCCTTAACTAACATTACTTACTTACTTTACATTTAGTCAAACTCATTTCATYAAGTAACCATGTTTCCCTCTTTTTAGTCACCATTTTGCATTTCCAGCCTGAGTTATGATCTCTGTTTGTTTTGTGGATCATATTGTTTGTGTTTTCTGTGTCTCCTTTAGCCGACTTGCTTGTCAAATCATGACGTGTTGAAAGTGTGGATTTATTAAGAAATAAGAAAAGGAAGGTAGCAGCCTTTTTTCGTTTTTTGGTGCAGGACTCTGTCTTTTATTTTTAATTTCGCACAACCAAACAGGGCCGAGCTCTTTCCTTCTTTTGTTTTAAAGTGAAAACAGCTGGTTTCTGAAGTAAATGATCTAACATAAAGCTAAGGACAAAATTTTACGAACTGAAGTGATCATCACATTTGTGTGAAGAAGTGACTTCAGCCTCCTTAAACAAGCTGCTCATGATTATTTACTGTATGTCCATGAGGTTGTCTACAAAACTCTCTTTATTGAGGATTAGTTTGGGCCACAGGAGGCCTGAGCCTGGTTGGTCCACCATTGTTGATTCTGCATTATCGCTCTGTTTGCAGGAAGCCCAGAAAACCCCCAGCGGCGCGTACGAAGGGTCGGCGCTAACAAAAGCCTCTGGGAAATTGACGCTGCTGCAGAAGATGCTGAGGAAACTGAAGGAGCAGGGCCACAGAGTGCTGGTCTTCTCACAGGTACGCACACACGCACACACACACACACACACACACACACACACACACACACACACACACCTCTTTTCTTAAGCTCATAACACCTTCAGAAATCTCAGGAATAAGCGGTTATTCCAGAGTGTGGTGTCCTTTTTGTGTGCAGATGACTAAAATGCTGGATTTACTGGAGGATTTTCTGGATCATGAAGGTTACAAGTATGAGAGAATCGATGGAGGCATCACAGGAGCTCTGAGACAAGAAGCCATCGATCGATTCAACGGTGAGTTTTCAACAAATCATCTCCTAAGAACGATTTTATATGAACTTATCAGGGATGCAACAAAACATGTACCTGTATCGAACCGTTCAATACACACTTGTRTCGAACAATACAGATTTTTTACATTTAGTTTATCAAGTTGTCTTTTGAAGACACTCTGTGTTGAAGGATCAGTGGATCTGTAGCTGCGTTTCCATTGACCATGAAAATGTGCATATTAGAATTTCGAAAATAAATTTGCTTAATGGAAACACGTCAGTTTCGAAAAAACGTCCTTTTTTCGACAAAATGTTTTTGCGCTAGGACGAGGTGGTTTTTCGGCCATATCGACATTGGTGTATTTAGCAAAACTGCAATGGAAACACTTTTTTTTGCATCACAGGAGTCACGTGATCAGGAACCATCTGTTTCTACTGGCGAAAAAGATGAAGAAGAAGAGAACAGGAAGTAGAATTAGCAGTAAAATCACAAAAGTCGTAAAAGAAAGTAGTAAACTCACTGACTACAATTTCCCAAAAACACGGCATGCGTAGCCGCTCCCAAGTAGGGACTTGTCGCTGGAAACCCTCGATAAGACGCCGATGTCTCCTCTGATGAGCGCTAGTGTTGTGGTAGCAATATGCTACAGTATGTGTTTACATCCATTACCGTCATGTTTGCAATGACTTATCACGAGAACAAACGTATTCACGCGTGACTTTAATAGCATTTCTTACTTCATGGAAACACCGCAATTGCAAAACTGTGTTTTTCGACATTAACAGAATATCGACAAAGTTTTGCGCACATTTGTAATGGAAACGCAGCTTGTGTTCGACTACTCCACCTAGGCTTCATTGTCGAGCATAGATCCAAGGAGAAACTTGCTGTTTCAGCAAAATTTAATTTAAAAACTGTACTTTTGAGGTTAAAAAAATGTTCATAATTAATTTAAATAAATTACAAATTAAAAAGGGCATGGACATTTATCTGTTTTGTATCCAAAAAGTATCGAACCGTGAGACTAAAGTATTGAACCAAACCGAATTGTGAAGTTTCTGTATGTTTAAGTTTTGGGATTTTGAAGTAAAATCTTACAGCAGCTGAAGCATTTGTTGGCATTAAATGCCATTTGAACATACAGGTTACTGGTTACTAGGGGTGTCACGATTTCGATATTTAATTGAAATTGATCGAAATTATGTCACAACCTCAAGCCTCCAAGTCAAAAAGAGGATCGACGACCCCTCCAAGTTACGCAAGCACCCACGCTACGCAAATGACGCAGCAGCACGCTACACAAAGTGACGCAGCAGCCGCACTGTAGCCGGCGCCGCTAGTTAGCTAACCTGCAGAGATGGCAAGTTCAGAGCCGGAGCTGGAGGCCGCTCCTGCTTCTCTTAAATCAGGAGTATGGAAGTGTTTTGCGTTCCCGGTGAGTTGTGTCGACAGCGTTCGTGTTGTCGACAAAAACACAACAGTGTGCAAGATGTGCTACACGCGTGTACCTTACTCAGCTACGGGAAACACTACGAACATGGCTGGACACATTCATCGGCATCACGAAGATGTTGATTTGACTGGAAAAACGTCATCATTGGTCCAGCCAAGTATTTAATCTTGGTTTGGAGTAAAATTGACACAGACCTCAGTTCGCACTAAAGCAATAACTAACGCTATAGGGCTATTCATAGCAGCAGACCTGCAGCCTTATTCAGTGGTGGAAAACGCTGGGTTTAAACATTTAATTAGTGTACTCGAGCCAYGCTACAGTATTCCCAGCAGGTTGCATCTTACAACCAAAGTTTTGCCGTCCATGTATGAAGACACTAAAGAAAATGTTTTGAGGGGTCTAAGTAATGCAGAGTTAGTTGCTATAACCACAGATAGCTGGACCTCAAGAGCAACTGAGAGCTACATTACAGTGACAGCACACTATGTCAGTAATGAATGGGAAATTGAAAGTCCAGTCCTTCAAACTTGCCCTATCTGTGAATCACACACTAGTGATAATTTGGCAGCRGTGCTACAGGAAGTAGTATTAGAATGGAAACTGGATAGACAAAATGCAACCATCCCTGTGACCACAGATAATGCCAAAAACATTGTCAATGCCTCAGAGGCAGCTGGATTGTCACCGCATATAGGGTGTTTTGCACACACAGTAAACCTGGCATTCCAGCAGGGGTTGGGAGTAAACCAGATTTCTTGTCTTTTGGGCAAAGTCAGAAGAGTGGTCACCTTCTTTCATAGGAGCACAACTGCAGCAGCTGTCTTAAAGGCCAACCAAGAGATGATCCAGCTTCTCGAGTGGTTACACAAGAAAACTAATTAGAATAATGAAATTTAGGTGTTAATGTAACCTGGTGTCAGTAAAGGGTCACTGATGTGGAAACAACACCTGGTAAAAAATATGAAGCTACCACTCTGGGACAATATCATTTGGTTYTTTTATTTTATTAAAAACAAACAAACAAGCTCTTGGATATGAAAGGACACTTTTTCCTTTTCAAATGGAACAAAATATTAGATTTTGTACATAAAGTAGAGGGAATAATATCAGGCAGAAGAAACTGAAGTTCTAATTTCTATAAGGGCACAGCTCTAAACGAGAGGCTGATTAAATTCATTAATGAGCATTCGCTTCTGTCCAACTAATCAACTGAACTTTGAAAACACACGAGTCGGCATTTGTCCGATGTTTTAGCAAAAACAAGACGTGAGTCAAAAACAAGCTCCTAATCGTTCCCAGATCTGTTTGTTTGTGGCTTTTGCTTTAATTGGTGCGTCTCCAGGTAAACTGTTACTTATTACTGAAATGAGCTGGTTCTGATCTGGTTCCGCTTGTGTTTGGGGCGGGTGGAATTCAGGTTTTGAGTCTCTCTCGCCAGCCCAAACATTTCCCTCAGACGTGACACAAAACTGCAAAAAATCCTGAATCTAAAACCTGGTTTACAGCGAGGAGAATCCAGCTGAAGTCAGAGGACTTAGTGACAGTTTGCACCTGAACCTTTAGATCTGGACCCCAAGACACTTTTGCGATACAAACCTGGAGCTCTGGGGGGGTTTGGGATATTTTTCTGCATTTACTTGTAACACTGATTCCAAGATTTAATCAAAAAGGGCTGAAACTTCAAGCCATTTTTCAAAATAAAAGAGGGTACCATTTTCTCTCTTTGTCTCCAGCTCCAGGAGCCGGTCAGTTTTGCTTCCTGCTCTCCACCAGAGCAGGAGGTTTAGGCATCAACTTGGCCACGGCGGACACCGTCGTCATCTTCGACTCWGACTGGAACCCTCACAACGACATACAGGTGCAGCTTGACATCTTTTCTTTAAACTTTCCTCTTTTTTTTTTTGCACCCTAAATAAAACGGTCCCTCTCCACGCAGGCTTTCAGCAGAGCTCACCGCATCGGGCAAGCCAACAAGGTGATGATCTACCGCTTTGTGACGCGGGCCAGCGTGGAGGAGCGKATCACCCAAGTGGCCAAGAGGAAGATGATGCTKACTCACCTGGTGGTGAGGCCCGGTTTGGGATCCAAGGCTGGCTCCATGACCAAACAGGAGCTGGATGATATCCTAAAGTTTGGGACAGAAGAGCTCTTCAAGGAYGAGGGAGAAGGTGATAAATCAGATACATTTTTTATGTTAAACTATCATAAAAGAACAGGACAAACTGTTAAACCTCARTTTCACTTCTCGGGCAGGAATGAAGAACAATTCAGGAGATAAAGCAGAGGATGAGGGCAATGTCATTCACTACGACAGCACCGCCATCGAGAGGCTGTTGGACCGGAGTCAGGACGCCACAGACGACACGGACGTGCAGAACATGAACGAGTACCTCAGCTCCTTTAAAGTGGCCCAGTACATGGTCCGAGAGGAGGACAAGGTGAGGCGAATATAACACAGTATAGTTGGACATTTATCAACCCCAGCACATAATGTGATTTGGCAAAATCTACCTGGTCCAACGTGTTTGTGTGTTCCAGATCGAGGAGATTGAGCGTGAGATCATCAAGCAGGAGGAGAATGTGGACCCGGATTACTGGGAGAAACTGCTGCGGCATCATTACGAGCAGCAGCAGGAGGACCTAGCCAGCAAACTGGGCAAGGGCAAGAGGAACCGTAAACCTGTCAACTACAACGACGCTGCGCAGGAAGACCAAGGTAGGAAGCAGGTTTGGACTCCAGAGGCTCAGTCCAGTCTTCAGAGTTGTTCCAAGTTGTGGCGTCCTAAAAACAAACACAGAAACCTGAGAAAATTATGTGAACTGTGAAGAAAAGAAGAATACAATAATTTGTGAATCTCATAAACCCATTCTGTTCACAATGGAACACAATAAACAAAAGAAACATATTTACCAGTGGTTTCCAAAGTTGGGGTCGGGACCCACAGTGGGGTCTTGAAACATCAAGTTGGGGTCCTGAATATACTGTATTTTGTGAATTAATTACACGAAAAAAAAAAGACAACTAAGAACTTTTTTTTCCTTTGTTTATACAAAATAATAAGATTAATGTACTTAAAATGGACCAAAATAGCATAATAAATAATGTTGCTATGCTCTTGTTTATTTGACGTGAAAACAATGCTCATCCACCGACAGCAGCTGGGGGCTCAGGTCTCTGCTGCTGGTATTCTGTGGGTCAAAAGCTGAACCCTGTTTGGTGTCATCTTTGCTGTATGGGAGCAAGTTTTTCTAAAACTTGTAAAAACTTTGTTGCATTTATGGTGCTTTCCATATCTGTAAGCTGCTAATGCTGAGGCACTAATGCGTCCCCATACCATCAGAGAGGCAGGTTTTTAAAATGAGCACTGAGAACTAAGGTTGAGCATCGAGTATCGATTGGAACCAGTACTAACGTTACGATTCTCCAGGAATCATTGAAATTTTCACATTTTGATTTGTAGTTTCAGTATCCAGTCTGCTGACTGGAAGAATARYCACCGAACACCAACGAAGAAGAATATGTGATCTAAAGTTTGGCCTAACTGTTRTAAAAGAGCACGATTATAATGTTCAAACACAGCTCTGGATTCTGTCTATGACATAAAACAATAAAATAGTCTAAKACCAGCACTGAGTCAGCTAACAAGTTATAGTAGAGCTTAAAGCTGTAACATCAGCTCAGTAACATGTTTAAAWACCTGCAGCATCAGACACTGGATCTGTGTCAATGTCTTTTCTTGAGGTTTTTAAAAATAAAGCTCCCTTGTGAAACTTCACAACATTTATGTTCAATTTTAGAGGTTTGAAAAATAGTGGGTGAAAATAGCTGTTATGTCGGAGTACATAAAGAGAAAATTACGTGTTTGTACCAGATAGAAAATACACCAATATATGAGTGTTTGAATGTGAAAAGAGTTCATATAGAACCGCAGAGCGCTCGGTCTGAAGGCAGTTTATTCTCAATTCTGAGTTCAGCCCCTTAATTCAGGAAGTCCCTTCATTTTATCATCATCTTCAGGACCTGACTCCACCTATTGTCATTGCGTCATCAAAAAGGGCTGCCCTACAGCTTGGGTCAAGTCCTCACACATTTTTCCTGCCCTAGTGTTAAAACAACAGTTCAATTAAGTGTTGAAAGTGTTTTCAGGCATGAATCTGATCTAACAGTACCTCTTGCCCTGTGTAACTACAATTTATAGCCACCCAGACCAGTCTGTAAACAAAATCACCAATTTAATGACAAAACTAGTCACACAACAGTTCATAAAAATATATAAGTATATATAATATATATATATAATATATATAAGAAAAGACTACAATGTGTGGTGCTTTTAAAAGTCAGTAGCAAACAACTCCAATAAATTTCTTCATAGCTGTGTGAGGAATTTTTAGTCACGTTCATAAAAACTTTAAAGAATCAACATTCTTAAAGAAATTAAGACAATTTCATCCAGAAAGAGCTCTGATTAGCTGCCTTATTTAAACCATGTCAACTGCTTTGACTCTGCTTCTAAAAGGAATCGAGACTCGTTGGGAACCAGAATCACACGATGCCCAACCCTGCTGATAACAGGCTGGATGGTCCCTCTCCTCTGTCTGTGGTTTCAAGTTTTCACCCGTCTAACCACAGAACAGTTTCCCATTTTAAATGAGCTTGGCCCAGTAAAGACAGCAGCGTATTAGACTTCTCTTTTTTATATATATTGCTGCCATAAATCATAAGATGTAGTACAATTGGACAACACTGACCATCCTCTTCATCAGACTGTCATAGAAAGACAAAGTGTCTTCAGTCGGAGGCTTCTTCAACTTCGCTGTAATACAGACCGCTACAGAAGATCTTTCCTGTCCACAGCCATCAGCAACTACAAGTTTTAAGTTAAATGAGTTACAACAACACCTAATTTCCCTCTGGGATCAATAAAGTATTTTTGAATTGAATTGAATTGAATTCTTTAGTTTCAACCGTTGATATGTTTACTATGGTCTATTATGAAGTAAATATGGGTTTATGAGATTTGCAGATTATTGCTTTTATTCATGTTTTTCCCACATTTGTCGACATTAGGGCTTGTAAAACATCTTATTTGTAGGATTTGACAGGTTTTTGAGTGATATTTTTGCACAGTGGAAGTGAATGGGCCTGGCCTATTGACGGAACACCGTGTGCTGTTTCAGAGTGGCATGCTGACATTTCAGATAACCAGTCCGAGTACTCTGTGGGCTCCGAGGAAGAGGATGAAGACTTTGACGACAGGCCAGAAGGTAAGAAAAAAAAAGACAGATAAAGTAAACCTTCGAAGGTCTGCATTGAATTAGAGTTTGATTGAGCTGTTAGAGTTTTCTGGCAGAACTACACTAGTTAAAGTGCCAAGAATGCATCCACCTCTGACTACAGAGATTTTCAACAAAAGGCTTCAAGCACATCCAAAGTTTTTAGTCTTTATAACTGCTTGCTATAAATTTCAGAAGAAATCCGTAACATTATCTCGATGATCTCCCTTGTTTGAGCTGTTATTCCTCTGTGAATTGTTACATCTCTTTCTTTCGCTGTCAGGTCGAAGACAGTCACGCCGTCAGTTGAGGAATGAGAAGGATAAACCTCTGCCTCCRCTTCTGGCCAGAGTGGGAGGAAACCTGGAAGTCTGTGAACGTTTGGACCTGGCCCGACTTTAACTAATCTCTCCAAGGTAGCAAGTCCCCCCGCATCATAACGTGCTGTGATTTCTCTTTTGACAGGTTCTGGGCTTCAACACGAGGCAGCGCAAAGCTTTCCTGAACGCAGTGATGCGCTGGGGCATGCCGTGTCAGGACGCCTTCTCCTCTCAGTGGCTCGTTCGAGACCTCAGGGGAAAATCTGAGAAGGAATTTAAGTAAGTAGGAAAATGGAGAAGGCAAGAGTTTTCTGGCCTTGTCTTATACGACTCTGGTTATTTAAAGAATTAAAGGATTTTCTGCTGCGTTTGCGCCTCACGACCAAATGCAAACAGAGACAAACTGAGATTTTTGAAAACATAAAACAAAATGTTTTTCTTGTCTTCTTGGCGGATCTTAGGATTGTTCAGCTTTGATTATGTGCTGAAATGAAAAGGTGGGAGGAAAAAAACAAGTTTGTAGCAACGCTAGTCTCAATATTGCCCATTTTTCACAAGCACCTCTAGAGCATGGGTCGACTCGGCTCTCCACGGTTCCAAGGTTTTTCCATTAGAAAGGATTCGTGGAACCAGACACTTTTTCAGAACAAACTTCACTGTTACATGCTGGCCTGAAAACATGACATCAGAAGACTGTCAGTCACTGATTGTTAGGGGGTGGAGTCACTGGTTGAGTCACAAGAGCTGCTCTCACAACAACCTGATCCGTCATTTACAAAAGCAACAGTACTGTGTTTTCTGGGTCTCCTTCTACTATGTTTAATGGTGGCTTAATGGAGCATGAGCGCCACCAGCTGGTAAGATGTGTGGCGTCAACTTTTGGACTCTGGGGCCGCCGAACTTTACGATGAACCCACTCACTAGAGCAGTTACTGAAGTTCAGCCAAGTCGAACCGTGCTGTAGAGGCGCTAGTGAAAAAGGGCCATATCTCACTGGACCTGTCTGGAGTGCTGCTGAACAATTCGCCTCCAGAAGGCCTCCAAACCTTCACAGGAGATCTAAGTTTCTAAGGTCTAGGGCTGCAACGATTAATCGATTAATCGACAACTAATCGATTATTAAAATAATCGATGACTAATTTAATAATCGATTAATCGTTTTCTTTTTTTTTT